TTTAGTAGAGACGGGGTTTCACCATGTTGACCAGGATGGTCTCGATCTCTTGACCTCGTGATCCACCTGCCTCGGCCTCCCACAGTGCTGGGATTACAGGCATGAGCCACCGCGCCCGGCTGCTTTTGTTTTTAAGAGATGGCCTTGCTCTGTGGCCCAGGCTGGTTTGCAGTGACATGATTATGGCTCACTGCAGCCTCAATCTCCTGGACTCTAGCCATCTTCCTGCCTCATTCTCCCAGAGCCCTGAGATTACAGGCATGAGCCACTGTGCCAGCCCAGCATTGTATTTCATTTAATAATTTCTAGGTTTCTTGAGTTCTTTCACCAGTAAATGGTGAGAGCATTGTAATTTATATTTTTAAGATCTAGTAAATACCTTCATGTCTTATTCAGTATTATTCTACTTTTGTTAGTCTTAGAGCTGTCTATAGTTTTGCTTAATTAGATCATGGAGAAATATGAGTTGAGCAAATACCCAATCATTGGAAACTACTATTGGTGGGAGATAGGGAGACATGGTTTCTTCAGGTTTAAAGTTAAATTTATATAGATCCTTTTCACTCCAGACACTTTAAGAAAAATTTAATATTCATTTTAAAATGTTGACCAGGTGCGGTGGCTTACGCCTGTAATCCCAGCACTTTGGGAGGCCGAGACGGGGATCACCTGAGGTCAAGAGTTAGAGACCAGCCTGGCCAACATGGTGAAACCATGTCTCTACCAAAAATACAAAAACTATCTGGGCGTAGTGGCGGACACCTGTAGTCCTGGATACTCGGGGGGCTGAACAGGAGAATTGCTTGAAAACCTGGGAGGCAGAGGTTGCAGTGAGCTGAGATTGTGCCACTACACTCCAGCCTGGGTGACAGAGTCAGACTCCTTCTTTTAAAAAAAGGTTAGAGAACCTGCTACATGCTAGACCCACAGCTGTTCACTGTTGTAGCCACTTGTTACATGTGGCTGTTTAAAATTAAAATCATGTAAAAATTACTCAGTTTCTCTGTCACTTAG